TGCATGGCAATTATCCAGTCAGCATCCTTTAGTGCTTCATCATGATTCCTTGGGTCAATAATGGATAGGAAGGCTTGAAAGGCACAGAAGTTCCTCAACTGTGATCTGGTCGGAGTTCCTCTACCAATATCACTTATAATAAGGTCTGTTGGATGAGAGCCTCGATATCTGAATGGCTTTGGTTGAAATTCTCTGGCAGGAACTCCTATTTGAGGCACTTCTTCTTCAGTTTCTTCTCCATTTTCCTTGTTGCCAGGTTCTCCATGATCTTGTTCCTCCGGGTTTTCTTGATTAGGAACTTCAGCATTTTCTTTATGTTCCTGCTCAGGTTCCTCTCTTACTTCCTTGGTTTGCTTGGAGGTTTCTTTATCTTCTTCCCTGTCTCTAATCATACCAATTTCATAATCATTATTATCTTGTTCCTGCACATTCATAAACATATTAGATTCATCAAATATCACATGAATGCTTTCTTCTACACACAATGTATTTTTATTGTAAACTCTGTATGCTTTGCTATTTGATGCATAGCCAAGGAACACAGCTTCATCACTTCTTTCATCAAATTTTCCTATGTTCCTTTTCCCATTATTATGAACGAAGCACCTGCATCCAAAAGCTCAAAAGTGAGAAATATTGGGTTTCCTGCCTTTAAACAGTTCATAAGGAGTCTTATTGATGATTGGTCTCATCATAACTCTGTTAATAATATAACATGCAGTATTAATAGCTTTAGCCCAGAAGTTTCTTGGAAGACCACTTGCTATGAGCATAGTTCTTGCCATGTCTTCTAGAGCCTGTTCTTTCTTTCAACAACTCCGTTCTGTTGAGGAGTTCTTGGGGCTGAAAAGTTATGATCCATGCCATTTTCTTTGCAAAAGTCATCGAATCTTGAATTCTCAAACTCAGTTCCATGATCTGATCGAATGTGGATGATTTGATTTCTACTTGACTTCTGTACTCTTTTGGAAAAGGACATAAATTCATCAAAAGTTTCATCCTTGCTAGACAGAAAAATCACCCAAGTAAATCTAGAAAAATCATCAATAATAACTAAAACATATTTATTTCCACTTCTACTTTGAACACGCATGGGACCACACAAATCCATATGAATTAGCTCCAATGGCTTTGTGGTGCTGACCATGTTTTTGCTTTTAAAGGAAGACCTAACTTTCTTGCCTCTCACACATGCATCACAGATATGTTGTATGAGGAACTTGACTAAGGGAAGCCCTATAACCAAGTTCCTTGCTCTAAGTTTATCCATGAGTGAGAAGCTAGCATGTCCAAAACGTTTATGCCATAATAAGGGATCATCATTAATGGCACTCAAGCAGGTAAGATTGTTCCTTGGAACAGAATTTAGATCCACAATGTATGTGTTCCCTTTTCTAGTTCCTTCAAGAACAACCTTTCCTGTTTTATCATTAATGATGTTGCATGAATCAGAGGTAAACTTACAGAGTTTCCTTTATCACAAAATTGTGATGTGCTCAGCAAATTGTGCATCAAACCCTCGACCAAAAGTACATTTTCTATTGAATGAGAACTAGACCTTCCTACTTTTCCTTTAGCAATTACTTCACCCTTTTTGTTGTCTCCAAAGGTCACAGTTCCTCCTGGATAGGCCTTTAGTGAGAGAAAATTTGATTTATCTCCTGTCATATGCTTTAAACAACCACTGTCGAGGTACCACGTGTTGTTCCCCCTCACTAGGACCTCTTTAGCAAGCTCATCGTTGTAAGCCTTTTCATCACGTTTGGCCATCAAACATAGATGAGCTGTTTCTTCTTCAGGTTGTTTCTCTTCATCCTCACTTTCAGAATCTCCCCAGGCAGCAATCATAGCCTTCCTAATGTCTGTTTTATTGAAAGGAATTTTTTTGTAGTTGCTCTTAACTTATTCCTTTTTCTTCCCTTTACCTTTCTCTGTATCCCAAAGTGGACACTCACGAATAAAGTGTTCTGGAGATCCACATTTGTGACAACCAGAGTTAGTTTTTGAAGTAGAGGGTTTCTTGGTGAAGTTCCTTGACTTGTTGTTTCGGTTGAACATTCTTTTAAACCTTCTCACCAGCATAGCAGCCTCTTCTTCATCGACTTCAGAGTCTTCTTGATCTCCAGCTTTGAGAGCCAAGCCTTTTCCTCGATTTCCTTCACTGTTGCTTGTTCCTAGGTGCAGCTCATGGGTTATAAGGGAACCAGCAAGTTGCTCAATATTGAAATTTGTGAAGTCCTTTGTTTTTTGTAAGGCTGTTACCTTGGCTCTCCATCTCTCATCTTGGGGGAGGCTTCTTAGAACTTTTCTGACCTGCTCATCAATAGGGATTTGCTTTCCAAGAGAAACAAGCTCATTAGTAATGTTAGTAAATCTAGTTAACATTTCCTGAATTGATTCTTTTGGTTGCATTTCAAACCGTTCATATTTTGACATAAGCAAGTCAATCTTAGAGCGTTTCACTTCGTTAGTTCCTTCATGAGTGACTTGAAGTAAATCCCAAATTTCTTTAGCATTTTTACAACCCATAACACAGTTGTGTTCATTGGGTCTAAGTCCACAATGAAGTAATTTAATAGCAAGTGCATTAATTTCCATTTTCTCAAAATCTTCCTCATCAAATTCAGACATGGGTTTAGGTACTACCTCATTTTCACCAGTGGTTTTGGTAATTTCAAAATCACCAACTTCGATCACTCTCCAAACCTGGTAGTTGTCGGCTTTGATAAAAATCTCCATCCTGTTCTTCTAATAGGTGTAGAATTTTCCATTGAACAAAGGAGGACGCTGCGTAGAGTAACCTTCTTCCAGTTTCTCGTGATTGTTCATCTTGATTCCAGGAACTTAACTCGTCAGGGTTTCCTGATTTCTTCGAGGAACCAGCTCTGATACCAATTGTTGACTCGAATGAACAATACAAGAGGTGGGTGAATTGTATTGTTGAGGAACTAGGGTAATTTTTGCGGAATTCTTAAAGAAACTTAAACAAAAACTTTAAAGTGCAAGAGAGATTTTACGTGGAAAACTTCTTGGCCCTAATCAAGAAGAAAAACCACGACCACAAGGGATTTTAATCACAACTCTTAATAATAATAGGGCAAACAACCTATTACAAATTAAGACTTCTAAACTCGAGTTCCTCTACGAACTTAAGTTCCCCCTCAACTGATCCCTCAATCAGTTGAGCTCTCAAATCTCTCTCTTTCTCCTTGCTTCAATAAAAGCAATTTCACACTTTAGAGTTTACCCAAACTCTACCCCAATACAACTCAAGATAAAACTACTAAGATGCTAAGTACAAAGACACTCAAGGACTTAAGTGGATTTTTGACTCTTTTAGAAAAGCTAAGAATCGTAATGCTCAAGTGTGCTTTTCAAAACAGAAAACTAATCCTATTTATACAGGAGGAAAGCATTTGAAAACCTTACGTTTGCCTTAGCTCCCACTATACCACAACTTCCATAAAATAAGGAAGTGCAGTTCGTGGATGCTTGGGCAGCAAGCTGAAGCGCACAGTAAGGAAGTGGTTCATATATTTTCTCAACCTCCTTTACCAAGTAAAAGCCGTTTTTAAAAAATAGTTTTACCAAGTCAGATTTTCCAAAATGTTAGGATAAAATCAGAACAGAAAATCTTTTAATAAATAAGATATTTTTACTTAAAAGATATTTTTCCGAAATAAAATTAAATCTTGTTAAAGAAAGGAAAAATAAAATCTTTATAAGCTGAAATTAAATCCACTTAAATCCTATCAATTAACAATGTACTTAACATATATACAAGAAGCCTAAAATAAATAATAAAGATACAATAGACTCTTTGGAACACAGTGAAGCTTCGACTTTGGAGCTTCAGTTCCTCACTCAAGGAACTTAGCTTCTGATTGTCTTCTATGCTCGTCCATAGCTCATCCTTTAGACTTGTTCCATGCTCCATTCTAACTCTAGAACTTCGTTGCATATAAAACCTGTCAATACATCAAATCTAATAGACAAAAGTTAAAGCCCCTATGGGTTTTCTTAGGTTCCTTGAGTCATCATCAAAACTTAAGATCAACACTTTTCCAACAAGAATTCACACTTAGAGTATTTTGCATAGAGGTGGTTGTCTCTTAGTGTTTGCAGAATTTCCCTTAGGTGTTTTGCGTGCTCTTCCTTACTCTTCGAGTACACCAGTAAGTCATTTATGAACACAACTAAAAACTTATCCATAAATTGATGAAACACTCTATTCATCAAATCCATAAAAATTGCTGGAGCATTGGTCAATCCAAAAGGCATAACTGTAAATTCGTAATGCCCATATCTTGTCCTAAATGCAGTTTTTGGAATGTCCTCGTCGGCAATCCTTAGTTGGTGATACCCAGATCTCAAGTCGATCTTTGAAAACACAGTGGCATCCTTCAGCTGATCAAACAGATCATCTATTCTTGGCAAGGGATACTTATTCTTTATGGTTACTTTATTTAGTTCCCTGTAGTCAATGCACAACCTCATACTTCCATCCTTCTTTTTCACAAACAGAACAGGTGCTCCCCAAGGAGAAGCACTTGGTCTAATGTACCCTTTGTCCAACAAATCTTGTAACTGATCCTTTAATTCACTCAATTCTGCAGGTGCCATTCTATATGGTGCCTTGGATATTGGGGTTGTTCCGAGAACTAAATCTATGGTAAAGTCGATTGCCCTCTTAGGTGGCATCCCAGTGATCTCTTCCGGAAACACATCCATAGTTTCGTTGACCACTTCTATATTTCCTAGATTTGCCACTTGTTCATGGTTCATATCCCTAACTCTGCAGAAATATACTGGATGTCCCTTTTTCATGTACTTTGCTAATTTTAGCACTGATATTACCCTTGGGCACTTTGTTTTACCATTCATCCAGTAAGTCACTAATTCATTTCCACTTGTGACCATCTTCACTTTCTGTGATCTACAACTAATCTCAGCATTATACTTACTCAGCCAATCCATCCCCAAGATAAGGTCAAAGTCGCTCAGCCCAAATTCAATAAGATCAGACGGAAATATCTTCCCTTTATTTCTAAAGGCACATATCTAAAAGTTTTGGTACATTTAACTACCCCACCTGTCGGGATGGTTATAGGTAAATCTACTGCCTCTACTGTTTTTAAGCAGTCCTTAAGTTTTGAATCAATACCCTTAGAAACAAAAGAAAAAGTTGCACCAGAATCAAACAATACTTTAACAGGAATAGAGTTAATAGAAAAAGTACCAGTGATAACATCTTTCGTGGCCTCTGCCTCGTGCCTACTCAAAACATTCAGTTTCCCTGCAGTTCCTCCCTTTTGCTGGCTGTTACTATTGTTGGTGTTACTGTTTCTCACCCCATTCTGCTGCACTCCCTTATTCCCAGAAAAATTGTTGTTGTTCCCTTGGAAATTCTTCTGGTTTCCTCCTGAGTTATAGTTGTTCTGTTTATTCCCATTAGCATTCTTAGAGTAACACTCATACTCCCTATGCCCCAGGTTGTTGCAAGGGCGACAAGCAACCAAATTGCCTTCACAATCCCTCCCAGGGTGATTGTTCCTACACCTCTTGCAGAAGTAAATCCTTCCATTCTTATTACTCCCTTGGTTATTGTTTCTAGCCCCTCCATTGTTGTTGCGGTTCCCTTGACGGTTATTACCATGGAAGTTGTTATTGTTGTGGAAGTTATTGTTATGGTGATACTTCTGTTTCTTAAAACCATTCTGGTTTCTTTGTTGGTTTCCAAAAACTTGTCCCACTTCCTTCCTTTTCTCTCTTCCTTCTATTTCAGCTAACTCTTTCTTCTTCTTTTCTTCCAGAGCATAAAGGTGTGCGGCCCTTCCATATACTTCATCCAGGGTCTCAAATACCTTCCCGCACACCTTCTACTGCAGATCAGTAGTTAACCCACTCTCAAACTTCCTAGCTTTTGCTTTCTCCGTAGAGACGGATCCTTCACCAAAACAGGATAACTCAATAAACTTGGTGTAATATTTCGTAACTGTCATCTTGTCCATCCTAAGGTTTGAAAATTCCTCAGCCTTCTGCTTCTGCAAAAAGCTAGGATAAAAATTGTCTCTCACTTTTTCTTGGAATTTGGTCCAGTTGAACCCAGGTAATGCTCTAATGGTAGCCTCGTTTTGTTGCCACCAAAGGTCAGCTTCACCCCTCAGATAGTAGGTAGCACAACTCACTTTGGAGTTTTCAGGGCATCCCACAGCTCCAAACAGTTTCTCAAATTCCCTTAACCAATTTTCCAACACAACAGGATCAGGCTCGCCCTAATAGGTTGGTGGCTTGCTCTGCGCCACCTTTTTAAAGAGCTCCCCTTCAGCATCCCCGTTACCAGTTGAGTTCCTTGCCAATTGCTGGGCAACCGCTGCCAATTGCCTCACTAAATCATTCAAATCATTTCCACCACTACCTGAACTTCGTTCCCCTGCCATTTGGTTTCTCCTGAATATAGGACAAGGATAACTATTAGAAATGGCTAGGTTTAGCTCTCAAAACGAACACCCGTATATACCTAACGACTTTTTAAACATTTACAGTAAAATTAGAAGCTAGCAATTTGGGATAGCAATTGCTAAAAATTCCCTTAATGTAGCTTTATCAATTAATATTGATTGCTAACCAACCATGCATTTAATAAAGCATCACAATAAATATAAAAATAATTCCCATGGACGTTTGCAGTTTATAAATGTTTGTTGGAGATAAGTTGCTTGGAATGGTGATTACTGGAATAATGGTGTGAAATGGAATATTTGTAAAACGAAAGAATTTATAAATAAAAATTTATCAAAGAAATAAATAAGGTTTTAATTAAAATAGACTGAAGATATTAAAATAAAAAGTGTGTTCCAAAAACTTATGTGGTCATGCCACTTATTTGCTAAAACTGAAATAACAAATAAATTTTAAAATAAAGAATATGAATTCGTGGCGAGGAAAGTCATAAGATTTAATCCTTTTTAACGTTGTCCCTTTTGTCGGTGGATTGCTTGTAGCTTGAAGGATCGAAGTTAGAATCATTTGACTCCTCCATTGGTTCAGGTGATTCAGGTTCAGGTTCTACTGGAACGAACTCCCCTTCTTCTTCCTCATCCGATGAAATATCTATAATTATTGGAGTTGGAGGTTGGTTTGGATCAGAAATGTCCATAAGTGAACTATTACCCTCTTGTTGTTCTCCATTCTCTGCTGGATTACCCCCCGACGAAGAAGAAGAAGAAGAAGCAGAATTTTCTGGTTGTTGATTTGGAGGAGGATTATTCTCTGCTGGGTTATCAAAGTAGTAGTCAGGGTAGGGAAGGTTTAAGTGCTGACAATAAGCTTTCTCCACCCTTACGAGATATTTGGTTAAGAAAATATAGTCTGGATACCACTGGCCATAATAGTCTCTGTATTTATGGTAATTTGGGATGTCTCCTAGAAGATAAAAATCAGAAAATCTTTGTTTGACAGCAAAGTAAGGGGGCTCCTCTTGAAGACAATGGACAATCATTGCCGAAATACGATCAGGGGTGTCATAAACTTTCTCTCGTAGGACATTGCTCATGTAGGAACAAAAGTATCTGATCTTTTCTACAAAGTCATAGGGGTGTTCATTATTTTTCTTTACGAGAGATCCTATTTGGGTAAACTTGCTAGGAAAGATTGGCATCCTGTAGAGAAAAGGTTTAGAAAAGATTTCCCTTCCCTAAAGAAATAAAATAAAATGAAATAAATAATACAAAGTTCAGTGTTCAATCATACAATCTTTAGGGTTCACATAGAATAATACATATTTTGCATGCGTCATCAACGAACATCTAGTCAAATCACATGCTTGATACTCAAAATAAAATTATGCACTTAGGGAGAAATTTAAATCTTAGCCTATATGCCCTTTCTTTATACTACCCAAGCTCACCAACATGTTAATAAAAGCTTTTAACACATAGTACTTACCTTAATCCTTGCTTCCTGCAATACATAAAAAAAATAAAGTGTACATATTTCCCCCAAAAATAATCAAATTTCGGCCCAAAAAAAAACAAAAAAAAATTTGTTTTTACACAAAAAAATTCGAGTGTTCTTAAAAAAAAAATTCGGACCAAAATTAAATAAATAAATTAATTAAAAAAAAATTTGGCCCTTAAAAAAAATATAAATATATATATATAAAATAAAATAAAATTAGAACAATCATCGTTTAATAATTAAATTAACACTTGGCCAAGTTTAAATCCAGTAAAAAAATGTTTTCGGGTTAGTGGTAATTTAAAATCTCAACCTGGCTCTGATTCCACTTTGTAACACCCTAGAAATTCCTTTCCTTTAAATACACACTTTACTCTTTTTATAATACGTTTTAGGAATATCTAAGACATTACCGCCACCGTGAAAACGGCTAAGGCAACTATCAAAGATACACAGCGAAAGACTTGAAAACCAAAACTATTTAAATAACACAATTTAAAAACCAAACCAACGAAAGTAAAGTTGAAAATCAACAAAACCAAAGTCAAATAAAATCCACTACAACTTGGAACCATTTAAGGCCCTTATTCAAAACCGAAACAACCAAACTTTTGGGTTAGTCCATAAAGTAGTATAATAAAATATTCAATGCATAAAACACATCATATCCTAATGGAAGCTAGCATGATTCTCTCTTCACTCATGCCCCGTCATGAACATGTTTCAATACCTGAAAAGTGTATCTCTACTTACCCCCACTACTCTCCATTAAAATGGATCATCGTAGGGCCAAGATAAAGACATGGACAGACACAAACAACACACACAATCAGCAAAGCTGAGTACATAAGTGTAATCAAACACATTAACATGCATTCTCCTATCATCACACACACTTACCTCATTGCACCTGTTTACAAGCACACACAACAATCAACAAGACACTTTAACTTATACACTAAATAATTCATTTAGCGTTGATTACGCATCGAACGGGTTTCCAACTATACCTCCCCCAATAAATTGAGGTTAACTGACACGGGAGCTAACCGTGCCAGCAACAAACCTGTGCCACACATAGGTGGCGGAATTCCAGCGCATAATAATAATAAAAAGGAATATACAACGTCCTGTACTCCGTTAGAAGTTATGATCAAATATAAAGTCACATAACTCCCCCCATATGTTCATACTCAAGGTATATACGTTCCAAGAGTTTTGGTGCGTAATCTCTTTCACTTTACGTTATTTACATATTATTAGACTTAGTGATGACCCTCAAAGCATAACAATTCTATCATCAATAATAATTCAATCACTCAAACATACCAATTTAATTCTTGAATATTTAGTGACCACATAATATTTAATGTTGAACCCTTTTTAATTCTACCTCAGTGTCAAAGACACCTTAAACGCATAAAGCGCCAAAAATCCTATCCCTCGGTGTTAAAAACACCTTAAGTGCACAAAGGCACCAACATACAATTTATTCCTTGTGTACATAGACACTTATATAGCTCATTTCTCATGCTTAAAGCATCAATAAAAATATATGAACCATAATAAAATTTCTTTTCAATATTCCAAACATAATTAAACAATTAGTTTAATTAAACATGCTCTCTATCATGCCATAAATAAATATGTAGTCCATATAATCATGCCAAAATATAATTTTCCAATCCAGAAACCATCACAAATAATTCATGCTTCACAATTCAATCACCAACACCAATAATTCACAACTCAATACATAAACCTTAGCATGATACTACTTGTAATTGATTGAAATTAAACCTAGCATGATTCTACATCATCAAAATATGCTAAGTACGCGAACGTACCTTAAGTACGTTATTAAAACTGCCACAACTAGTAGAGATCGCTTACTTCAAAGTCTCCTACACATTACATCCATAATATAGTATTAATATTCACTCTAAACAAATTTCCAGCAATATATATTATTTTAAAACCCTTCATAAATTAATTAGAATAAGCTGAAATTATATTTAAAACACTCTAAATTAAGTCCCAATTAGTGGGTAATTAAAATTTCTTCAAGAAACCCAATATTAAGTGTTCTACATAAAATTTCTGCACTTTATTATACTTAAAACTTGCTGTAATTTGGTTTTAAAACACTTAAAACAAAGGCCTACCCTATTATACATCATAACCATTCAATAAATCATGAAACAAGAACCTAGGGTTTCAAAAATTGGGGCTTTTTAATTAAAAACCAAATCTGAAAATTAATTCATACAATTAAAATTATCAAACATCAAAATTAAATCCCAAAACTCATAAATTATAATTAGATCTAAGCATAGGTTAAATTAAAAATAAGAAAGCTAAGTTTTTTTTTATATATATATATAGTTCGAAAAAAGAAAGGGGGGAAAAGAGGAGGAAGAACGGCAGCCACCACCGGCTGCTGGCGGCAACGGCTGCCTGCTGCCGGCGGCTTGCTCTGCTAGCAGCGGCGGCCACCAGCTGTCGGTGGCTGGCAGCGGTGGTGAGGGAGAAGGGCAGCCCAAAAAAAATAAGGGGAAGGGGAAAAAGAAGAAGAAAGAAAAATAAGGAGGAGAGAGAGAAGTTTACCTTGGGTTTTCTCCACTCTGGGCAAAGTTTGATTTGCCTCATAAGTGGGATATTTATACCCCTTCTCTACTAACCCTCTTCCCTAAACTTTCCTCTTTTAGGTTTTCCTAATTCCTTCCCTAATAAAACTTGTTGAAAATCAAACTTTTCTAAAATAAAACCCTAACTTTTAAATAAAATAATTAAATAAACTTTCCTTTAATAATAATATTAATTAAAATACTTTAATTAAAATACTTTAATTAAAATAATTACAACTATTTTAATACTTTATAAAATACATTCTTTAAATAAAATACGTATAAAAATACGGGGTATTACATGACTCCGTCAATTTATGATCAATATTGAAAAGGTTGAAAGTTAAAGTCCTTGAGGAGTCATCACCACTTATTTCTTGGACCACTGTAAGGGATGATAGAAATTCAAAGGTAACCCTAGAATAGGTAGGGGCGCTCAAATCCAAGAACTCTAAGAGACCGAGGTTCTTGGCAAGGTAGCGAACATCATCATTAATTCCGAGAAGCTGGGTTGTTGTTTGATTGTAGAATCTTGTTGACTTGAGCTTCCGCTTAAATAGTTGCTTGAACCGATCCTAATGTAAGTCCTTAGAGAATTCAATGTCGTATGTTTCTACCACCTCGAGAGGAGGTGGAACAACATGCCTAGCTTTGCTTGAACTTGATCTTTCCCGCTTCTTTTGGTGGATAGGAGCCATCTACAAGAAGCAAAGCCTTTCATGAGCAATTCATTTACAATTATCATTATTCAAGAATATGCATAAGATTACTCAAGAATCAAGCACAAATGTAATTTACCTAAAAATGAAGCAAGAAATGGTCACATATGAACAAAGCCATCAATATAGAAACAT